GAGCTGAGCTCCAGCTCGGGGCTAAGCCCTCGTGAGCGTCCTGTCTGTGCCCGATCCCGGCATGGGCACTGAGCCCTGTGCGTGTCAAACAAAGCCTTTGGTTCTCTCGAGCAGCCCCTTCCCTCCCCTGGGGCTCGGAGGCAGATCCAGCAGCACTAAAACCCCCCAGGGCAGACGCGGCTCTGGCCCCCTGAGCCTGCCCGAAGGAGGTGGGAGGTGCAGGAGTCAGGCGCCTGCTGGGAAACCATCCCAAATATCTGGGCTGGGCAGACACAGGCTCAGCTCCCTCCCCCTTCCACAGCACAGCCAAATGCCCGAGGCTGAGGTGGAATTTCACCCTGGAGCTTGGGAGAATCCAAGGCTCAGGTTACCGGCTTTCCTACAGCCTCACGGTCCTTGTGATGAGAGCCAGCACGGCCCTCCAGGGCTCTTTGCAGCACCCTTGTGCCCCTGAGGGCTGGCAGTGCGGCCACCCTGGGCAGATGGGCTGTGAGGCTGCACCCACGCTGCAGGAACAGGAGAACCCAAAGAACTGTACCCATTATTTTAATAATTAATACAACATATAAATTGCTCACGCACATAAAGTTACCATGGTTGTTCCCACAGTTCTCCCCTGGCTCTGTAAGGAACTGAAAGCTCCCATTGATCCAGTCTGCATCCTCCATGGTCCCCAAAGAGACCCCACCACACTCACGGGACCATGGAGTGCTCCCAGTTTCTCCCACTCCACAGGGCAGGCGCTGCCTCAGCTCTCAGATCCAGAGACCTCGAGGACTGGATTCAGTTCCTGCCACCACCGAGGATTCTTCCAGCATCTGCAAGTTGCTGGAGGTTCTGCTGAAGGACAAGAGTCATGCTGGTCCATTCTCTTTATTCCCAAAACCAAGCCATGCACCCCCAGCCAGGTCACTCCCATCCAGCTCTCCCTGCTGCAGTTCTGACTTCTGCAGCCTCATGATCCAAGGATGGACTTGGCCCTGTATTGAGCCGGGCAAAAGCACTGAGCACAGACAACACCAAACACCAGTGGAATTGAGAAGCTCACAGGCTGCCCTTAGCACGGCCTCTCCTGTGCCAGAGTGGCTGCTTTGGGTCCCCATCTGAGGCTTCCCAGTGCTGCAGCTCCTGGCTGAGCTCTGGTTTGGAGAGTCCTGTCCTGTGAAGCCCTGGGGACCCTCAGCCACATGTGGAGCTCAGGTCCAAGGGAAGTGCTGGGCTGGGATCTGTGTTGTGGAGATGTTTTGCTCTGGGGCCCTGTGGGAGAGTGGGAGCAGAGCCCACGTGGGCACACAGAGGGCTGCAGGACCCGGGCAGGAGGCAGCAATGTCCCAGAGCCTTCCAAGTGCCCTGGGGACCCAGTGCTGGGGAAACACCCTCACTGGGGATCCACAGCAGATGGGACAATTCACCCCTCATGCTCACAGGCCCCAGACTGCAGTGGGGATCCCAGTGTTGCTCTTTTTGGGTCAGGAAGGCTCGAGCCTGAGGAATCTGCTCACCTTGGTGCCCTGATCCATGGCCTGTGCAGCATCAGCGCCGCTGCCTTGGTCCTGGCCCCCTGTGCCTGTGAAGAGGATGAGACCCATGAGAGGTCTGGTGCCCCTGTGCTGCCCCTCTGACAGCCAGCCATGGCTCTGGAGGAGAAACTGAGCTTCCCTCTGCTCCTCTGGAGAGGATCTCCCCGAGAGCTGTGGGGACAAGCAACCCGTGGGATCAGTGTGTGGAGTCTGCTGGCTCCTGGTGCGGGATGAGGCAGGGTCAGCTGAGATCCTGCCCTGCTCAGCCAGGAATGCCTCAGCCAAGGGCACCTGGCTGCCAGGCTCCCAGGGATCAGCCTCCCCCTGGCAGTGCCAGCTGGCATGGGGCAGCCTTGCCCTTGCCCAGCTCTGGAGCACTGTGGCACTTCCAGGCTGGGAATATTTGGCTGTGTAACAGTCCTCTGCATTATCCTGCTGTTGCAGGCAGCAAAACTCCTCCCCTGGCTTTCACAACAGACTTCCACAGCAAAGGCTGACAGTGCAGGGATGATGCCAAGGGAAAGAGCAGCGGCATGGATGTGGAGGTGACAGGGATGAGGGGGCTCTGTGGTGCCACACATATCTCCACAGGCCCAAGGCATGGAGCAGAGAGAGTGTGGCAATCCTGATGTTTGGAGACTTGGCAAAGATGAGTGTTTCGAGGAAGGGCAAGGAGATCTGCTCATCTCAGCACCTCCAAATTCCCCACAGCTGCTGCTTCCCTGCCCTTTCCACCTTCTCAGTGGATCAGCTGCCAAGTGCCCTGACTTGCTGGCGTTTGCTGGTTTTTGCCAGAGCACAAGGAAACATTTTGGAAGGGCACCTGGATATTTTTTTGGCAGCTAAAAGGAGGTTAAGTAACCCACTAGAATTTGATAATGTCACTAGAATAATTAAGAATATAATCTCCTTGGTAGCAGCCCAAGGGTGGGGCTGTTTGCTTCCATTCACACTGTGAATGGAAGCTGGGGAGGTGCAAGAAGCTCCCTGCTCCACCCGAGGGAACTCCCAATGGAGCACCAGAGGGACACAGGGAAGAGAATTAACTCAGCCTCTGCCAGAGTGAGACAGGAGTGTGGCTTCCCTGGATAGGGAAAGGTAAGGAACAACCATTTCTTCCGGGACTGGCAAGTGTTGAAAAGCCCAAGCCCGGACAGCAGGACCTTGGGCAAGCGAACACAGCTGGGCTGGTGTTAATCTGCTCCTCTTGGAAGGGAGTGCCAGCTTCCAAAATCATTGTTTCCCGGGATATGGACTCTGTTACAGCCATATGAACCCAGCTCTTTTCCTCCAGGCCACTGGGCTCCGGGAATGCCAAATGTCTGACGTGATCAGGAGAGCCAGGACACTTGGAGGCCACAATCCCCACCCTGGGGCAGGTGCAGCAAAGCAGCTTCAGCACAGATGTCTCACCTGCAGCTGTGGCAGAGGACGTGGAGTCCCTCTGGAATGGGGACTCGGAAAGCCCCACTGGATGCCCGTATCTTGCAGCAAAGCCCCTGGGCCATCCCCACCAGGCTGCTGGGGGGAGTGACCAGGGGGGCTCTGGGCACAGGGGCTGCCCCAGGCCGTGCCCAGGTGCTGTAACTCCTGCCCAGGAGCGGCCCCTGCCCGGCCCAGGTGCTGGAATGTCGCACCAGCAGCTTTGTGGGGCGGAGGTTCTCAAACACACGGAATCCTTCTTTAATGGCAAAATCCCAAGCCAGATCAGCCACAAACTCTGTGTCCTTGGGGCTGCTGTCACCTGGAGCTGGCCTCCCTGGGGACAAGAGAACAGGACACTTGTTTGGAAAAGTCTGTGTTACGTAGTCACATCCCAAACAGCATCACCTGCCCTCCTCTGGGCCAGCCCAGCAGGACTTGGGGAAACTCCTCTCTAAGGGATGTGAAAATAACATCAGATTTAATTCTGATAAAGGCTCCTGCTGTGTGCAGAGCACCGAGAGCTCTCACCACCTGCCCGTGAGTTCCTTGGCAAAGGCTGGTGCTGAGCTGGAAGGTCTGAGAGCTCCATCTGTAGGACACAGCTCTGGGCTCCCAGCTTTGGCCTCTGCTCAGTTCTCCCAGGAAAGGAAAAACCCCAGAGCACAAGCAGCAGGCAGGAAAGGCCTGTGGCTGGAGCAGGGAGGCAGCTCTGTGCCCCTGGGTGTGCCCTGGTCAGGGCACAGCTGACCTGGTTGGGCTCCTCACCTGCCAGGGAGCCACGGCGACGTCCCTGCAGCATCACAGCCAGGCGGAAAAAGGCAAAGGCCAGGTAGAAATTCCAGTTCTCCGGGCGCTCCACTCCCATGTGGCCACAGTACATCTGGGAATACTCCTCTGCCGTGGGAATCCCCAGGTGCCCCAAGTCACACTTCCTCAAGCCTGGAAGATGGGAAGAGGTA